TCGGGTCCCTGTGCTTACGTGTGGATGATCGGTGGATGGCCTGTGGTGTTGAGAAGGACCGTAAGTTTTGCGAGCAGATCATCGAGCAGTTGAGGGTGCAGGTGGAGTTTGGCGATTGGAGCGAACTTCGAAGCATGCCAGAAGGGCGCTCCAGGCAAGGTCAGGCAGGACTATTGCATCGCCATTGGCATGGGCGAGAACAACGACAGCATGACGGCCCGTCGTGCACCGTGGGAGTTGTCTTATCAGGACAAGAAGCCACCCGCCTGAGCGGAACGGCGAGCACTGCGTGGCATGAACGGGCAAGTCCGCTGGGTAGTGCGTCTACGACTCCATCGTTGCAGCTCCGAGGCGTCGCGATCGGCCGGGCAGATGACCAGCGGTGCAGGACGTGCAGGGTCTGAACAGCCTGGTCCGACCTATCAAGCGCGACGGGAAGACGCGCGTGGTATTTCGTTGATTTCGATATCGAGTTTTCCGTGATCTCGGGGCCGCGCGACGCTTCATGTGACAACAACGTGCGTGACCGCAAGAGCTAGAGAGGATCTTTTATCGCGGTGTGGGGGCGGCAGCGTGGCCGACGATTGCGCCGAGCTGTGCCCGTGCATGATGCTCTCGTGGTCAAGTGGGCGGGTCGGCGCGCAGACAATGGCTTCCTGTCGGCGGAGGCCGGCGGCTCTTCAGAAATTCAAGATGTGATCTGGACTCGTGCTGGTTGCGCTGGCATTTTTGCTCGAAGTCAGCCTGGGCGCAGCTATCTTCGAGCAGATGGAGAGCGGAAGGTAGTTTAGTTGCCAATTGTCGTCGATTTCGGTTGCGGGGCTGCGTGGACAAGCGGCGCTCTCGTCTATCGGGTCGACGGTTACCTCCGGAAGCGGCGATCATGCGACGGAAATGTCGACGTGGAGGTATCGAGTGGGCGCGATCAGAACATCAAGTGGCCGACGGACTCACGAAGAGGATGGGCAATCGTGCCAGGGCAGTTTTTCTGCGGAAATCCACATGTTTTCGGACCGGGCCCTGAGCGCCTTCAATGCGGCGGCGACAGTTGACAGACCCGCGGGGCGATACTTAGCGCTCGCAGCGAGTGGAACTGCAGGGGGATGCGCACTACCTCAACACATGCCACGCGAAGCCAATGGACTGCAGTGCAGACGACGACATTTCGATGATGGAAGTGCATGATGCTGCATTTCACGCAGAGACGAGCTCAGCGACAAGAAGGGCACCTTGCGTTTCACTGCGAGCTTGGAACGCGAGCTGTTTCTCAAGCGTAGTGGCAAGCAAATTCATTTCAGGAAATCCAGTCATTGAGGTATGCGGCCCGTCATCGCGCCAATTATCGGCAGAGATGATGCAGTCTATGGTGGTCAAAGTTCGTGGAGTTTTAGCACCAGTTGTCACGATGGGTGCGTTGTTGCTGCCTGCATGGTGCATCGGAGGAGTTATCTGTGCGCGCAGTCGAAAGGATAAAAAAGTAGCGGCTAAGGACAAGGTGCTTTCTATGCCAGGGAGCTCCAAGGATTACATCAAGACGAAGCCCATCGGTGACGCCACCAAGAATCTTTGCAACCCGGACGTGAGCTGCTCGGAGATCGACGAGATGACGGAGCAGCATCGCTCGAAGCCATCGAGCACGGAGATGCAGCTGAGGAGTTTGCCAGTTTATGGTTTGGTGGGCTTGCTGATTACACGGCAGGGTGCGTATTTCGATAACGATGCCTGGACTCGTTTCCTTTTGGAGTATACTTCTGGAATGGAATGGATGGTCGTGTGCGCGCTAGTCCTTTCGAGCCAGTCTCAGAATTGACAGTTTTATAACTCATATGAAGATTAGATGGATAATTGCAGCTTGAAGCGCAGCTTCTGTGAGCTGAAATCTGTCTCGAACTTTACGAGGAAAACTAGTGGATGCCAGCACAACGTGCGGAGCTGTTAACATATCATGTGAACATTGTTTTGAGCGACCAGCGATCTATACTATAGTTGTATGTGTATGTGTGTATCTATGTATCTGTGAAAATGACACACACATACATACACATATATATATATATATATGTATATATGAATGTACGTATGCATGCATGCATGTGTGTATGTATGCATGTATGAATGTGTATATATACACACTCACACACATTCGTGATCTATATATGTGTATATATATATATATATATGATCCAAGTCTCCTCAGTACGCTGCTTTCTCTGGACGCTCGAAGCTTCGCTACCCTGGGAGCAGACTCTGGGCGTTCCAGCGCGAACCGAATGCTGGCAGAAATTGTTGAGCCCGTCAGCGCGCCCAGGTCCTGCGATGCCCCCGGCCAGTGCCCGAGGACGTGGTCGAGGCAGCCCGCGCCGCGGGCGAGGTGCCGCCCGCACGCTGCCACTTTTCGGCGGCGAGCGAGGGGGGAAGTGAGAAGAAAGGCGGCGGGGCTTCTCACAAGGCCTCCGGCCTTCTGAGGGTTTTCTGTGTCTTCGGGGAAGGTTTGGAAAACTTCTGAGAAGGCCATGGGACTTCCAAGACTTCTGACCGGAGCCCGCCCCTTCTCACTTCCCCCGCGGGCTCGCCGCCGAACTTCTACATGCACCGCATCGTCGGAGGGGGGGCGTGGCCGAGGCAGTGAAAGTCCAGGAGGTTCGAGGTTCGAGGGGGTCGTTTGGCGTTTTCGGGCCCCGGGGACCGTCAAACATTGCACCAGATGGACCCCGGGAGGGGTCTGGGGACCGATTTTGGGCGGAATTGGTTTCATCTGTTCTTTTATAGCGTTTCGCTAAGGAGGGTTCCAGTATCTTGGGGCCTCCCAGATGGGGTCCAAGTAGATGGGGTCGGTGGATCGCCTCGCAGTGCCGATGCATCGGCGATGCGGCTCGATGCGGAACCTGATTTCCACCGCGCTGGCGTCGCCGATGCATCGCCTATGCATCGCCGCTGCATCGCAGATGCGGCGCGATCGTCCGACCCCATATGCTCGGACGACCACTGGGAGGCTTCGAGGAAGGCTCCTGGAGGGTTCTCGGAATGTTCTCGGAGGTCTTCCGATGTTTCTGGGGCCCGTGATTCCCGGGTATTTTGTTTGGGGGATTTTCGGGGCCTGTATTTTTTGGAGGTGCTCCGAGGTTTTCAAAGGTGCTCCGAGGTTTTCAGAGGTTTTCCGAGTTGGTCGAGGCAGCGGAAGGTTCAATGGCATCCTCGCTTGAAGGACAAGTCACGACGGTAGTGTTTTTTGTCGTTTTTGCTTGTTTTTGTTTTTGTTGGCCTCCGGGGGCCTTCACCGGGCCCCGTCACCGTGACGCCGATCTAGGATGAAAAGCTGGCCTTGGGGAAGGCGCGGGTCCATTTTGCGAAAAAATCACGACACCAGCATGTGCCTGGGTCTTCGGCAGGATCTTGCATGGTTCTGGGGCTTGGGATGGTGCACATCAGCTGCGCCTTTCTCAGAAGCCAGGCGAAGGCTGGCAAACCCGTGGCTGCCAAAACGGAGCTCAAGGGAGATTGTTTTTTTTCCCCGGAAGGAGCCCGTTTACTATTCAGTGTGCTGAGTCTTATTCCGGGAATTTGTTTGTTTCTTCCCGGAATATCGTTCGGGGGCGGCAAGGAGGGGGGTGATGACTAGGGGGGGGGGGGATATCATGGCGGGGGCCATGATGTTTCCTCAGATTTCATGGCGCGTCTCCTTATTTCACTACGTCCCCAGCCCCCCCCTTTGGGCCGCGCACATGCCGCCGGTCATGATTTGCACCCCGCTCCTTTTGGACGGCCCTCTGATCCAGAAATGCTCCATCTGGCCCTCCTGTAGGGCTGTCCTTGCGTTCTTGGCCAGCTCGGTGTCGTTGCTGAGGCCGGGCTCTTCGTTGGCCTCGCAGGCGTAGTAGCGGTGGGGGGCAGGCTCCTTTCTGCATCGCGGGCACAGAGCTTTTCCAGGGCTGGGGAGATCTGCTGCGGCTCTGCGTGCGCGACTCCGAATGCCTGCGTGCTTCCGCAGCTGGTAGATGTCCCCCCCCCTGCGTCCAATCCCCCCTCTTGGCCGCCCCCCCATTGCTTTTGCAGCCACGGACCTGCCGGCCGCTCGCCCAGCTTCCGATCGTCGCGGGCGCTCCGGGGGAGGCCGGCAGCGGGGCCCGAGTTCGGGGCGTCCCACCAACATACTTCTACTATGTGTTCGTCGCCCCCCCCAGGGGCGACGCGCGCACCGAGAAATCTTATAGTATATGCGTCGTTGCGGGCGCTTTCTGGCCACACCGCTCGAGAAGCGAGATACTACAAGATGGGTATACTATATGTTCGGGTCGGACGCGCGCCTCCAAGGCGTCCCACGAGTCGTCGCCCGACGGCGGTCGGAGGAGGCCCCCTCGCGCGTCGCCACGGCCGGGCCCGCCTCGAGGGGCGGGTCAGGATGTGGGCGCCCGGGGGGAGGGGCCCAGGGTTGAGTTCGAGTCGGGCGTGCCCCCCTACAGGGGGATTTTCGTCGGAGAAAAATGCAGAACAGATATTCCAAAACGGAGAAAAAGTCATCAAAAAAGAGTCCCCAGACTATTTTTTTGCTGTTCTTGAATATTCCTCCTGTAGAGGGACAGGCCCGACTGAAGGTTAAGTCGGGCCTGCCCCTCTACAGGAGGAAAACTCAAAAATAGTAAAAAATGCTCTGGGGACGTTTTTTTGTGTATTTGTCGGCCTTCTTGCATATTTTTGGACTATTTGTAAGTTTTCCTCGAGAATCCCCCTGTAGGGGGACAGGCCCGACGTAAGTCCAGGGGCCGAGGTCGAGAGCAGAGTTGGGCCATGGTGGGAGACTCGGGTTGGCCCAAGAGGGGGTCCAGCGACAAGGGGATGGTGCAATAGATTCGGTGCAATAGATTTGTGGGGTTGCAACACCTTCGGGACGTGTGATACATTCCGGGGCGGGAATGTATTGCTGGATTTTCGCGTGCAATACGCTATTTGTAATACGATGCAATGCAATTCTCCAGCGCAATAGATTTGCAAACTAATTGCCCCAAATCTATTGCACCACCCCCTTTCAGCTGGACCCCCTTTTGGGTCCCCCAGAGAGAACTCAGGCCAAGGCTGGTACGTAATGCGTCGCTCCCTGGTGTTCTGGAGCGCTTTCTGCAGCGCCCGCGGCACCCGACGCAGCCTCTGGGCCAGCCCGCTCTCAGAGACTCCGGGCTCACAGCTAATTCCGCCGCCGAGGGCTCCGGAGGAGCGCCCGTTGTCGGCGCGTGCCGGAAGTCTGGGCTGGGGGGACTCCGTAGCACGATGACCCCAGACATCTCATGTCGTGATTTTTTGGAGACGGGGCCCCCGGAAGTCCCGACCCTTTCCCCAGGGCCGGCACTTCATCGAAAGTCGTTCTTCGACGGTCTTGGGGCTTGGCGGGGGCCCCCAAAGGCCAACACCGGGCTAACATGTCCCGCCTTTATTTCTCCCAGCCATCCTGTGGTGTTGGGTCCTCGGTTTGGGGCCTCTTGGGGCCTCTTGGGGGTGCCTCGGGGGCCTCTGGGGGGCTCTTGCGGCCATCGTGGGGGGAGAGACTCGAACCATCAGTTTGTAATCCCCTTCTTTCGGCCCTCCTGGGGCTCTCTTGAGCCGTCTTGGGGGGCCCTGAGGCCGTCTCAGGGACCTCTTGGGCCTTCTTGGAGCGCTCTTGGGGGCCGCATCGGCCGTCTTGTGATGATCTTGGGTCCTCGCATCGCTCTGCGTCTCCCTCCCTTCTCCTCCCTCTTCCCCTCCCTCCCTCTCCATTCCTGCCTCTGTCCTCCGCATGCCGATGTCGGCTCACCCATTACACGTGTCGGGGCCCCGTGGGCCACAGGGAGCTCCGCCCAAGGCCCCGGAGGCGCCGTCCACATCTGGGCTGTCGCGCCCGCTTCTGCAGTTTCGTGGTCCCAGAGGGAGCTCCGCCGAAGGCCTCAGAGGCACCGTCCACATGCGGGCGTCACGCCCGTCTCGGCACACCCCTTGCAAGTTACGTGGCCCCACAGGGAGCTCCACCTACGGCCCCAGTGGCGGCGCCCGCATGGCGGCCCCGCCCCCTCTCGGCACACCCCTCTCGCGCTTCGTGGTCCCACGGGGAGCTTCACAGAAGGCGACAACGGCGGCATCCACAACTGCATACGTCTGGGACCTCCGACAGCACGTCTGGGACCGTGTCCTCGAGCTGGTCCTCGTCCTGCCCTCGTCCCGAGGGCCGCCGCCGTCTCGGCCGGCCCTCCTCCGAGCATGGTGCTCGACCCCTCGGTCGCTGGCGAGCTCGGGGCGTCCCTGGACGCCCTGGCCCAGGGCAGTCGGCCGAGCGAGGGCGAGCAGAAGTCGAACATGGGCGGGTTCCACAGCCCGAAGAAGGAAAGCTGCATGCGCACACACTCTCGGAGGTCTGCGCGGATTTCTCGTACCGGCGTCGGACCCCCCCTGGCGGCGCCTCCCCGGGCGCGCTCCGCGCGCCGAGGAGGCGCCCGCGGGAGCCCGAAAGAGACGGGAAAGCTGCCGATACGGCTAGCCCTCCCTTGTCGCCGCAGCCGGTTTCGCATCGAAGCTCCCGAGAAGAGCGCACCGCAGGCGAGGTCTGGGGAGTGTGGTGGTATCGGTGCTCTTTGCTTCCCCATAGACCCTGAATTTTCGGAGGTCCGCGCGGATGTCTCAGATCGGCGCCAGGGGCGCGCGCAGCACGCCATAGGCGGCGCAGGGGGCGCCGCCAGGGGGGGCTCGGCGCCGACCAGAGAAGTCCGCGCGGGCCTCCTGGGAGGGCCCTGGGCTCGGCCTCGGGAGCGCCCTGGGAGACTGGGCCCGATGGTGGTGCTGTGAACTGCCCGAGGAATCCCCGCCTGCCCGCATGGAGAGACTTGCAGGAGGAAAAGGAGGAGGAGGAGGAGGAGGGGGAGGAGGAGCAGGAGGAGGAGGAGGAGGAGGAGGAAGGAGGAGGAAGAGGAGGAAGGAGGGAGAGAGGAGGAGGAGGAGAGAGGAGGAGGAGGAGGAGGAGGAGGGAGGAGGGGAGGGAGGAGGAGGAGGAGGAGGAGGAGGAGGAGGATGAGGAGGAGGAGGAGGAGGAGGAGGAGGAGGAGGAGGAGGAGGAGGAAGAGGAGGAAGAGGAGGAGGAGGAGGAGGGGGAGGGACGGACGCTGCGGGCTCGGGGACAGTCTGTGCTCATGCCGCCGTTCCTTCTTCCGAGAGCAGCTCTGACCTGTGCAGCTGGGACGCGGTGCGGGCGGGGCAGCTGCCGGCGCTGCTGGCGGCCGCCATCGGCAAGGTCACGAGCGCTGAGTCGTTGACGCTGGGCCGCGAGGTCGGCGCCTTGAGGGCTGAGCTGGACGCCTGGCTGAACGTCTCGCACCCGGGGGACTGGAGCTCGGCATCGTCGAACCTCAGAGGAGGAGGAGGAGGAGGAGGAGGAGGAGGAGGAGGAGGAGGAGGAGGAGGAGGAGGAGGAGGAGGAGGAGGAGGAGGAGGAGGAGGTACCGATTCCGCTCTAGCCCTTGCCCCTTGCCTCGTTTTCTGCTCTCTGGGCCTCCTGGACGCCCTCGTCGCCACGGCCGGATTCGCTTTGAGATTCTGGTCAGAGCGCACCCCTGGAGAGGTCCCGGGAGCAGCGGGCTAGGTATCTTTCCCGACCCCCGACGTCATCATTGCTGTCATGACGTCGACCCCCAAAGGTCTCGACCCATTCCCCCGGATTGGTTTTTCATCCGGTTTTTTCCCCCGAGGCCCGGTAAGGGCCACCACAGGCCAAAAGTAGCGAAAAACCTCCAGGGGTTTGTGTCTTCCCCAGAGCCGATCCCCATCCCCACTGCGCCATGGCATCTCGGCCCCACCGGCCCTCCACCCATCGGTAGTGAGGGGCGGGCCCTATGGGACGCCCGAAGGGAAGAGCAGGTGCATCCCCACCCGGCCAGGGGTGAGTCGGCCAGTCGCGGCCATGCCCGTGGGGAGGGGGATCGGCCAAGCGGTGCCCAGGACAGGGCTCGTCTCGCCTCCTTCGATTCGACTCGATTCGATTCGATTTCGATGGCCTCCGATCCCGATTCGATCCGGCTTCGGATTCCGACCTGGGGAGGCTGGCAGCTTCCTTCCTCTTCAAGCTGCACCTCGTTGCCCCTCCTGGCCCGCGAGAGCGCAAGAGAGCGCGCGGCGCCCAGGAACCACTTCCACAGCCACCCCGGCGCCGCGCTGTCCGGGACGTACTTCGCCCGCGACGGCGGGTGCTGCCGCCGCGGGGGCCTGCTTGGGCGGCTGGTCTTCCTGACGGGGGCCCCGAGCTCGGTGGGAGGCCACCACTTCGAGCGCCTGCAATGCCAGCCTCGGCGGCGCGCGGGCGGGGCGGGGGCCCTGGGGGCGGGGCGGGGGGCGGGGCGCCAGGGCGGGGGCGCGCCGCCGCTCGGAGGCCCCGCCCCCCCTCGAGCAGGAGATCGACCACGGGCTTGCTTTGCTCCAGGGGGCGCGTAGGATTTCCGCGGATCTGCGCACAGTACTCTGCACCTCTTGCTGCAGATGCGAAGAGAGAAGAGCAGCCCTGAGGCGAACCAGTTTCGTGGTGGATCTCCTGCTCGGCCCCCGCGCCTCCTGCGCGAGGGCCTCCCCTGGGCCCTCCTCGGGACGGGGCCGGGCCCGCCTGGGAAGGCCCCGCCGCCCCACGCCGTGCCTTCTTGCCCAGCGTCGCCAGCAGACCTTCTCGCCGGGCGCTGCCAGGGGGACGGCCCAGGGCCCAGTGGGTGGCCCCAGCTTGTCCCGATGATGATGATGATGATGATGATGATGATGATGATGATGATGATGATGATGATGATGATGATGATGATGATGATGATGATGATGATGATGATGATGATGATGTTGTTGTTGATGATGATGATGATCGATGATGATGATGATGATG